CCTAAAGCTGCCTTTGGAAAGCAGCTGCCTTCTGCACTTGCTTACACGAGGCTTAGAGTCAATTACAACCCAAGAACTTTTTTTTTTTTTTGTCCCCACTTGATTTTTAGGAAAGGCTACAAATGCCATCCTGTAGTTGGGAAACCAAATTTAAAAAAACACACACACACACAAATATGATCTGGTAAAATGCTATCTGTTTTTGACCCATCATCCTGCAGGAAATGCTTTCCAAATATAATTCCGTTATCTACCAGATGAGCCACACTTTGCAGGTCTGGATCTTTGAATGTGGTTGGAATGTTTGTCTCTTCATCCAAGTCATCAAAAAGGATATTGGATGGGCCATGGCTGAACCCTTATGGCCCCCTCAAAGACTGCCTTTCCAGAGGACATAGACAGATTAATACACCCTCTCACCTGCCATGAAGGTGCTGAATATACTCACTTCACCTACATAGGGGCAAACAGGGAAGTGGAGGTGAGCAGGAGGAGGGAGGAAGGAATGGACTTTGCTTTCAACCTTTTTGTGCTGCTAACAGGCCACATATGAGTAGTTTCTGGAGCGGGGAATGTATTTTTTAAGGTTACCCTTCTACGGTAAGCCAGACTGCCATGGAGGGGGTGGCGTGTGGAGAGAATCTGCCAAATATTACACCAACGAAGCCCATTCCCATTTGTGGCCATGGTGCTGTTGCTCAGGCTGAGAGGATGTGGCCATGATTAGGGGGCATGGAAGAACCGCTGGTGGCTCCATGCTTCCAACCCCGTCTCACCTTCCCACGCATTGGGAAGCCACTAAGCAAACACCCAAGGGTCTTTCTCTCATCCACCTTTGAGCAAACATGACAAAACTAAACGTCCCACTGCTCTCAGTCCTTCTAAGCACCCCTCCCTGCCCGCTACAGTGTCCCATTTAGCCACACTGCGGGAGGACATTTTGTTTTTGTTTTTGTTTTTGAGACAGAGTCTCACTCTGTCGCCCAGGCTGGAGTGCAGTGGCGCGATCTCGGCTCACTGCAAGCTCTGCCTCTGGGGTTCACACCAATCTCCTGCCTTAGCCTCCTGAGTAGCTGGGACTACAGGCGCCTGCCACCACGCCAGGTTAATTTTTCGTACTTTTAGTAGAGACGGGGTTTCACTGTATTAGCCAGGATGGTCTTGATCTCCTGACCTCGTGATCTGCCTGCCTCAGCCTCCCAAAGTGCTGGGAATACAGGCGTGAGCCACCGCACCTGGCCGGGAGGGCAACATCTTACAGGTTATTCCTACCTATGGACAGGTATCCTGGCCTCCTTCCAAAATGCCACGCTTTCCTAATAACTCAAACCCGGGACACTCATTCACTATTTTATAAAGGCGAAGCATCCCCAGTTGCTTCCACCAGGAGCTCGTTTTGGGGGGACTTCCATGGTGGCGGGTTGTGGGGGGTTCTTTCTTCTTAGCCTGTGAGGTTCTCAGATTTGAGGCTCTCTGACTTCTCTTTGAACTTTCCAGTCTGGACCACAGGCAGAGTTGGGTCTCCTCTCCTTGACCTTGACATTGGCAGTGCTGTCCCCTTGTCAGACACCTGCCATTGGATGCTCTCTCTCTGGGCCCTTCTGCTGCAGTGCTGCTGCTCCCTCGACAGGACTGAGGCAGACTCTGTCCTAGGCAGAGGCAGGCATCCTGTCTTCTGAGTGGTCGGCCTTCCCGCTGTTTATCCTATGGGGGGCCCTGCACTCCACTCTCTGCCTTCTCACCAGGCAAGTGGGAGCCCACACAGTTCCCATGTGGCTGCGCGAGGATGGCACTGGGGTCTGACTGCACAAGTGACAAGCAGCATGCCAAAACCCCACAACCCCATCAGCCGCTCGTAAAGCGAGAACGCCTTTCCTGAGAGGGGGTGGGAGGAAGGCACCGCCATGGAGAACGCCTGCAGGTCACCTCCCAAAATAGATCCCTGCTTGGCATCCACACACTTTGCCCCCAGCCTGCCTTGCTAGAGACTGGCAGGGTACGCGATTTGGATCTGAATCAGTGGCTGTAAACACACAGCTGTGTCTTTCTGCCTCAGAGGATTTGATTTTCACTTGACTGCTTGGCACATTGGGGTCTGGGGAAGGCAGGAGAGGGCCTGGGCGGGGGGCGAGGGAGGGCCGGCCAGGGAGAGCCAGGAGCAGCTGCCCCTACCGGGCCCTGATTGCCCCACATGTCCATAAGGTGAGTCACCAGTGGGGTTTTTCTCCAAGCGGGCACTCCGTGGGGAGGGCATTTTGGCTGCTTTTGGCGGACAGGTTGGACCATCAGCGGGAACAGCTGGGGGTTCCTCCTTCCAAGGGAAATGTCGGGGTCTAGCGCCCAGTGTCTCAAAACTGACAACCAACTTGTGGCCCTTTTTGATAAAAGTCTCAAGACTCCTCCCTGTCAACCCTATGAGGAGCCACTTTGTCACTGTCTTCTCTGCACCCACCAGCCATGCTGAGCCTGTTGTTTTACATTTTATAGTTTATAAAAAATACTTTTATATTTTCATTTTCCAGCTACAAAACTATAACAGTAAATACGCTTTTCCTAATTTCACACAGAGCCAAGATAAAAAGCGAAGCATAGAGGAGTTGTAACCTGGTCTTAACTACAGACTTCACCACTGATTGTAAACAGGATAACACTGTCTCTCATACTCTTATTTCCCATCTCTAAAAGAGGACAGTGACAAGCTGACCTGGGGTTCCCCAGGGAACCGGAAAGCCTGGTAGCAGGTGAGCAGCAGAGTGTGCTGAGATTCCCAAGTGCTCACATTTCATCCCTTTCTATGCCCATCGGGCCCCTGAGACCCCACAGTGCATGCAGTGATGTGGCAACACCGACCCTGGTATCCACCTTTCTGTCCAGCTGACCCCACCTGACACACACACAGCTGGGCATCCAGACCAGAAGGGCGGGGACTGCAGAACTAGCAAGCCTGAATGGTGTAGGGCACTCACCCTGTTCTCTGTGAGTCCTCCCTGACCCTCCAGCAACTCACCATGGATGAGTGAACCCTGAATAACTGAGCAGGGCCTATGGTGTAGGTGTGGGGAGCTCAGGGCACTCAGTTCTCCTGCCATTGCATGTCCAGGCTTTGTAAATACACCCAACTCAACGCTATCCACGGTTTATTTCCCAGCCTCACAGGCTGGCAGGCACTTCTGAATCAGGTAACTAACTGGGCAGGAAGGCAGCTCCTCTCCCATTCTAAGGAATGAGTCACATAACTCAGAAATCTCAGGACAGAGGGAAGCACAGACCCGGAGAACACCCCGAGCTGGAAGGGACCATTGAGATGACCTAGTCCAGGTCACTTCAGAGGAGAAAACCAGGGCTCAGAGAGGGCTAGTGATTTGCTTGAGGTCACATAGCTAGCAAGCTGAGGTTGGAAGCAGGAGCCAGTCTGCAGGGGGGCTGCTGAGATGTCTCAGAGTCCCAGGACATGCACTTGCTGCTCAAGAGAGGCAGGTTTCCGTGCTTTCCTTCCCAAACACTTCGATGGAAGTCTCCCTCCAGCTCCAGCCGGGGCCAGGGTTTCACTGCAGCTGGATCTCAGCGCTCTGAGATGGGAGAGGCTGGCACTAATGTTTGTGACCCAGTGGTCCCAAAGGAGTCCAAGGACTGTTTGCAATAAAAACTAACCCTTTGGAAAGATTTTTAGCCAACTGGCCTTTGCCAGAGGCATGGAAAGGTTTCAACTGAGGTCAAAGCCCTCTGGGGACTCTGCTGAGTCTAGGTATTTGGGAACTCATTCCACCAGGGTGCAAGGCTGTTCCCCATGAAACCTGGAGGAGGAGGGGGAAACAGCATCATCCTCCCCGGGGCAGGAGCTGCTCCTGCTGCTTGGCTGACTGCCCTGGTTGTCTGCCTTCTCCCTCCCCTGCCAAGAGCCTCAGCCCTCCACTTCCGGTCAGCACCTGGGCCTGGAGCTGGGGGTTTCTGTCTACAGATCTGCCTGGAGGGGGGTGGTTGAGCTGTTGACTTCTTGGCTCTCATTAGCTCTCCTTGGCTTTTGTCAGGGGAAGGAAGAGGGGGAGGGAAGGAGGGGGCGAGGGAGGCTGAGTGGCAGCTGGCTCCCAGAGCTTCCCGCTCCCCATCTGACTTGCCTGCTGCATTCCTTGGCAGGCAGGACAGGAAAGCCTGTCGCAGAGATGCCACCCATCACGTGCCAAGCCTTCTGCAGCTTCCGGCCCTTCCTGCTGCAATTCCAAGGAGCACCTTGGCAAAGCTAAACTTCGATGCTCTCTTAGGAGGTGGATGAACGCCTGGTCCTCCTCTCCCCTCTCCTCCGTAGCCTCCAGTGCTTGCTCTGGCACCAGCAACCCCATTTTCTATCTTTGGAGCCCAAGACTGGAGCTGATGAAGCTCTTAAGAGGGCAGGTGAGGTTTCAACTGAGTGCCCAAAGGTACCCAGGGTGGCCGACACCAGCCTCACTTGGGGTTGCCATTTTCTCCTAACTTCAGTGCTATCACCCTCTGTGGCTTTTTCTGTGGAACTAGACATGAGGAGCAAAGGACTTTCTCCAGCTTCTCCTCTCCAGGTTGGAGTTCTCACCAGATGGCTTCAGCTAGTATCTCAAAAAAGGAGCTGCTCCTGTGGCTTAGCTAAGTGCCCCATTTCCTCTCTCCCCCTCTCCCTCCCACGCATGCTCCTGGTCCTCTGTGTCAGAGCCAGGCCCTCTGTGGTGAGGCCCCCACCCCACTGTGGTAGACTCTGTGGAAGCTGAAGGAACAAGCACACTTAAGAGAGAGCAGGGGGTCGGGCATGGTGGTTCACGCCTGTAATCCCAGCACTTTGGGAGGCCAAGGCAGGTGGACCACTTGAGGTCAGGAGTTTGAGACCAGCCTGACCAATATAGTGAAACCCCGTCTCTACTAAAAGTACAAAAATTCGCTGGGCGTGGTGGCGCGTGCCTGTAATCCCAGCTACTCGGGAGGCTGAGGCAGGAGAATTGCTTTAACCCAGGAGGCGGAGGTTGCAGTGAGCCAACATTGTGCCACTGCACTCCAACCTGGGAGAGTGAGACTCTGTCTCAAGAAGCAGTGGGAGGGTGAACGTTTTAGCTCTGGCCACCTTCATGCTCCCATTGTCCTCTGTCAACTGCAAAACCAGGAAGACAGCAGAGAGTGGCAGGCTGGTCATCACCAAGCAACAGGAAAGAGCCTTCAGTGAGAGAAGGCACCTCCTCTTCTTGGTCAGTAACGATTGAGACTTCCCATCAAAGAATCTGAAGAAGAGCTGGAAGGTGAAGCAAAGGCAACCCACAGTGACTAGCCAGAGTTCTCCTACTGTGGTTTTCATATGTGACAGCTACTGTGAAAGGAAGCTTCCCTGTGAGCAGGATTAGGCAGAGACAGGCTCCAAATCACATGACCTGAGGCCATGTATGGGGTGCCCTGGAGAAGCTGCTATGTGTTATAGCTCTTTCTGAAACTGAGGCTCCTTGGACAAGGGCGGTCATGTACAGTGGTGTGGGTTATTCACTGCACAAGGGCAGGTGAGGATCAACAGGGGCTGAAACCCAGCCTGTGTTTTGCCTGGCCAGCTGGGCGTCTGTGGGGCTGGGCCCACCAGAGGGAGTCTTGTTTTCCATTTTGGATGAACGTGCATTGTAGGCTAGTTGCATCCTGCTGTGGACTTTAGTCATGTTTAGTTCAGAACCTGGGCCTACCTTATCAAATAAGCAGGGTTTGTGGTCTCAGTCTGCAAAATGACAGAATGCTTAGTACAGCATCCCCAGACATTTGCTTTGTATATCCAAGTCCTGAGTGACCTGGAATGAAGCTTGCATTGGAAACAGAAGCTCACACAGCACTTTCTCTATTGACTGGGGAGTGCCAGGCCCCTTCGGCACCCAGACTAACATGGCCCTAAAAGCTTCCATGAACCATATTAAACATCTCCTTAGGATCTCATGGAAAAGGGGGCATGTGTGGTCCTAACAGATAATCCCTCTATGTCATGGCATGACATAAGACTTGGAAAGAACAATTTGTTTTTTCCAAGTGCTTCTCTTCTACCAAGAAAAGAAAGGACATTGGCATGTTCTGGGGAGAAATTCTGAATTCAGATTCAGTCTTGACAAGCCTCCAGCTGAATGAGCTATCCAATCACCTGGATCAACTTTTTTTTTTTTTTTTTTTTTTTGCCATCAATTAATCCTAAATGGCAATTGGCCTCATGTCTTTGGTCCTTGGTCCGTGAGCTGCCCCGCTTCACTCCCCAATTTCCATTATTAGCCCCATGACGTGGGTCATGTTCTACACGTCTTTTCCAGCAACACGGGAATGCTATTGAACTAGCCCTCCATTTAGTTTTATAGTTTGCAGTATACAGCAGATAAAACATTCACGTAGATCTTCTCTTAGAGAAATCAAGTACTTAATGCATATGGTATTCAGAGAATGGCTATCAAATTGCAAGGCATAGTGGTTGGTCAGTTAGTTCTGTTTGATGAGACCACTGGGCTGTTGAGACCAGATTCCTGGGTTCCAGCCTTAAGTAATCTGAGAGGCAACACATGGGTCATATCCCCAAACTTCTATAGCCATGGGCCACATCCCCAAACTTAGCCACATCTTGTGGGGGTATAGTGTCACCCCAAGAGCATGAAGAGCATGGATGGATGGCAATACATCTCCACCACTGGAACCCCAAATTCTGAATGCATCACCTATTACAGTCACTTGTTCATAACAGAACAGCAAAGAATTTAGGAACTCAGGTTTTTTTTTTTTTTTCCAGTTTAGGCCTTTTATCCATACCCTCAGGAGCTTCGGATACTTTTCTCCTTCAGCTCGCCCTGAAACTCTCTCTGGAAGCTCTCCCATGTGTGCACTTCAGACACTTAGGGGTGTCGTGGTGGTTTCTTGTTCCAAATGCTTTGCTGACAGACCTTGGAGAACCCCCAAGCCAACACCACTTCTGGGATGAAGGGAAATCAATAAACGCTCTTCACAGAGCTTCGGCGAGACCATTCTTGCCTTTCCTGATACTCACTTCTCTGGAAAAACAGCCTGCAGATGTCTGGACGTTTTGTCCAAGTACCAGGCTTCATCTCTCGCACCCGCGGCCTGCACGGTCACCCTGAAGAGCTCCCCGGGGGGCTGTCAGGGCTCTGCTTACAGTTTGTACCTGAGAGCCACAAGCACTCTTGGCTTGTCAGCAAAATCCCTAAACATCCTCTACCTGCATAGTAACCAGGCCTCAAAAGAGACAGAGAGAGATGGGATCCCACTACCTTCTCTCAGGCCATCGTGGAGCGAAGGAGGTCCCAGAGGCCTTGCCTCTGACAGCCCTTGACAGCTTCTTGGTGTGCGGAGCCACATGGCCATGGCAAACCAGCCATGAAGACAGACGAGGCACCCACGGGCCTTGTGTTCTGCACGTTCTGATTTCTCATGAGGAAAGGCCACAGAGAGGGAAGACTGAGGAACGGAAGGGATGAATACCGATGTTTAATTGCCACCTACTAGAGTTATTTGATGTTTACATGTAGCAAATTCAAGATAATGTTTAAATGCACTTAAAATGCATCTAGCTATGACAGGTAAATGACTAGGTTGCTTTCAACCCAGGATCCTTAGACTTTTCCTTGAAAGGACGAAATATATATACCAGTCACACAGTAGTCAGGTTTTACAAGGATTTTCCTCTTCAATAGAGGTGGAACAAAGGCAAGTCAGTATCAATGGGCTGCCACCCTTTGGGAAGGGAATGTGGCCTGTTCCCTGCGTGGGACCCCTGCTCCCTGGTTGCTATCTTGGTTCCCTCTGGTTTGATGTTCATGTGATAGGACGGCCCCACGATTCAGTGGGATTGAGTATTTCTTGTGCACTGAGCTCGACATTCAAATCTTGGGGCGACCAGCATCGAAAGAGGGGATTGGCCTGTGTTGTTCTACAAACCATGGTTGAGAGTCTCAGCCATGCACCCCAGGGAAGAGCCACGGACTCCCCACTCCTGCCTGTTGCCACGGCTGTCTTTATGTGCCACTGTGGGGAGCTCTACCACTCTCTAGATGGGGCATACCATGAACCTGTAGGAATCTGAAGCCCATCTTTACCCAGCCTGTCAGAATCAAGGCCTGAGGAGGCCGGTAGGACCTTGCCCCCCTCCCCACCCCCCCCAGGGGAGTACCCAGGACGCCGCAGGGATTCAGCTACTTCCCTCCTCTCCCTGTCACACTGTGCACATGAGGCTGATGGGGGCTGGAAGGGATTCATGCAGAGGCAACTAACACACACGCCAGCTAGGCCACATCACCAGGACCCATGCAGCACAGCCGCTTTCTGCACACAGCAAAAGCCACCTACACAGCAACATTAGCTCACGACCTACACCGGCGTGACTGCCAGGGTTCACAGAGGGAAATTTGGCTTTTTTTTTTTTTTCGATGAGCTACGGTTCTGAGCCAATTTATTTCACGGTATAGTTCGATGGCTTCTCCCTGGGCTGCTGCAGAAGATGCACAAACCGCACAGCCCCGAGGGCAGCAGAGTCCCTCCTCCTCAAAGCCCTAAACAGAAGATCAAATGCCCAGGCCTGAGGCTGGGCAATCAAGTGTGCACCTTCTGCAGAGGGAGTCGCTTGCTCTTTTTGCATTTTCATCCCTAGAAGAGAAGCTGCAGACACTCGCAAAAGAAAAGAAAAGGGCTGAGTCAAGGGAGAAAGCACTGGACTCCCTCCCACCCCAAAGGAAACAACAACCAAAGGGGGAAAAAAAGAAAGAAAGAAGAAAGAAAAAACCAAAACCAAAATCAAAAGAAAAGTTGAGGGAAGAAAACCGACTGAACTTACCACACTGCGAGTGAACTTTTCTAGGGAAGTTCTACGACCTTGCTCACTTTCTGGCTTTAGGAAAAACAAAAACAAAAACAAAAAAAAAGGTAGGGAGAAAAATACAGAAAAAAAAAATCTTCAGCTTACACGTGGTTTCCAAACAGCAGCAGCCGCAGCTAAAGAATAACAAAAACCAAAGCAAAATGGGGTGAAAAGTGGGAAAAGAGAAGCAGCCAGAGCTGTTGGAAGAGTCAGTGGGAGAGACAGAAGACAGAAGCCCACGGGAAATGGTGCCACCTCCTTGGAGCAGCGAGCAGAGACGGGGCTTTGCTTCTCCAGGGGCCGTGAATTGTGCTTGCGGGGCTTGGATCAGAACCATCACGACTTTGCACAGGACCACAGTCGGTGGGTTTGAGCAGCTTGCTTGCTGCTTTCAACCTGCTGTGCCCACAGGCAGGAGTCCTGGGGGTGGGGGCCCCAAGTCCTGACACAGAACAGACTAGCTCTGAGGGCCAGCAGGGTGTGGGAGGGATGTCAGGAAGTGGCTGCTGGGGAAGTGAAGTCATCTACTCATCCATGAATCTGCCTTAGGACTGTTTTCTCTCTCGAGATTCCCCTGCCCAGAGGCGGCCAGAAAGATTGCTAACTTCAGTGACTTCCTAGTGACCGTTGTTCTGTGTCCTTAGAGCAAGGAGGGTCTACTCATAGCCTTTGCCATGGACAAAGGGTCTAGGGTCTCAGAAGACAATAACATGGGGATTGTTCTGAGAAACAGAAAATGTTTTCTCAGTATCCAAAAGGTGACCTAACACCTGCCAAGATGTACATACAACAGGCTAGAGGAAGCTCAGAAACCATCGTGGGGAACTCTTAGCCGGGGTGCCCAGAACAGAGGTGAGGAGAGGCAAAGCCCTCGAATGTCCTTCCAGGCCTAGCCTCCTTCTACTACAGGAGGAAGAGAGGTATGGGGTGCTCCTGACCTTCCCTTCACCCCACATTTCCTACCTGCAGGGGTTCCGGGAGAGTAGAATGACCGCCCAAATACCTGCTAGTATATCCTGGAGCCCATTCCAGGGTCCTGAGCCCGAGGCTGAGAAGTTCAGAGAGTGCACACACTCACATAGACACACACATACACCCAGCAAATAACTGAAAAGAGGGAGCTGAAGAGGCAGCCTGGTGTCTGTGGGTGTGCGGACTGTGCTGAAAGCAGAGGGGACAGGCCAAAGGCAGCCGCCTGTGTGGATGAAGTCGGGGGGCTTCCTTGGCAGCTGGGCCCCTTGTCAGCTCAGCCGGCTGCCGGAAGACAGACAGGAGGTTGCAGAAGGAAAATAAACACAAATGACACGCCACCACAGAGTTGGGCTGGGCTTTCTTCTTGCACTAGGAATGGAAGGACTCATGCTTGGCCCCGGGTACCAAGTCTATTCTGGGGATGGCAGGACTCAGCTTGAACCCTGTGGCCAGCCTGGGTGGCATACACTTGGCTCAAGTCACGCCAGTCCTGGGCCCTGCAGCTGTCATTCTCGGCCTATCATTCTTGTCCTCTGGCTCACAGAGGGTGGCCACTGGTCTGGCTCACTTGGGCTCCTCTGCCTTGCACTGGCCATTGAGCTGCCTGGAAAACCATCATCATTGGTACTGAAGTTTCCTAGAGTAGCCCTCAGGACTCAGCTCACCTACGCCCTGAGAACCTGGTTCTTCGGTGTGACTACCATTTATTTTGAAAATATTAGAAAAGAGACTGAATTAGGGATGAAGGATCAGAAGGCTGTGCCTCAAGACTCCGTCCAGGTCAGTTCTCAGCAGAAAAGTGAGGCCGATTCATATTCCCTCTCTCCACTGGAGGTTGCGAATCTCACATACCTTTTATGACCTGGATACGGTGAACCCGTCCCTGAAATTGGAAGAATACTCTAGGCCTACCTGCAAGTGCCGAGTTACAAATCAGATCCACACGTGGAGACTCTCAGGAAGAAATAGAAGGAGGAAGCACATTTTGTCACTGTTTTGGGAAACAACTCGGTGTTGAGATGGTGTTGGTATCTGCAAGGGCTTTCTGTCTCAAGAACATCCCTTACTCCGGGGGCTGGGAGGATAATTCTAAGGAACTTTTCCCAGACAGGTTGCCAGTTCCTTCCTCACTCGAATGACCTCCTCTGAGAGGCTTTCTTCTTGGAAGGGAGGATCTGCAACCACAGGGTCTGCACACAGATCTGCAGGGTTTGGGGTGCATTTTTCCTTTGTGTTCAAACCCACAAGGAGAATGAACGGCCTCTAGCTTCTCTTCTTCAAGCTGTGTAGACAGGCCCAGATTGGTCAAACTGACAGAGCCTTAGAAAGTCACCAAATTGTGATCAGGTCAGGTGTCTTGAGTCACAGAAAATAAAAACTTACTTTGACCTTCACCCATGAGATCTGGGCTGGAGTTATCAAAAGTTCCTGTAACTTTTCTTTCCTCTAGTTCTTAGAAAAAATGGGCATTAGAGCCATGTGTGAGGGCGTCAGCCTCCTCCAAAGGAGCCCCTCCACTGACATCCTCCATCAGGGGAGTCGACAGGAGGCCAGGCTCCACACCGCCCATCACGTAGCCACACCTGAGGGGAGGGATGCAGGAAACCCAGAGAGCTGGGCTGCTGACAATCGGGATGCCCCAGAAGTCCTCTTCCCTTTCTCAGACTCTATGGCCTCTTCCCAGGGCTACACAAGGGCAGGAGAGCAGGGTATGAACGCTCTCCAGGACTCTGGAGTTGTGTGGTCCCAACCAGATACGCAGACAGGATCCTGGCACATGAGGGTGACAGCACACAGAGAGAAGGCTTGCGTGGCTGAGAGGCAGCCCAACGGAGAGCGTGTGATGGGCAACCACGTGCTTAGGACCTGGGGCCGGGAGGCCAGGAGGGAGAAGAAAGGGTTGCATGTGCTCCTAAGTGCCATGGCACAGAAGTCATGGGGTGTGGTGCAAGTTGATCCACACTTAACCACACATGGGCCTCAGATCAGAACTGAAAAGCACAAAGGGTGGGCAGGTGTACTGAAACCAGGAGCCCTCTCTCTTGCCCTCCATTCCCTTCCTGGACCCTATTCTCCTGCCTGCTCTTCCTCCACTCTTCCCAGGACTCTAGCTGAGTTCATCCCTGCTTCTGTCACCCCTCACCTGCATGCTGAGGGCCCCTGCGCCCCAAATCCGTGACTCTATGGGCTGCAAGGAACCATGGCCGAGTTCTAAGGAGAAGGAGGAAGGAGCTGGGTGCAGTTACTTCTTGGTTAAGAGAGAAAGGCAACACCGTGGGGCAGGTGAGGGAGAGGAAAGGGGTGTCAAGGAGGGAGAAACCCCAGGATGACTTCAGGTACTTGATCATGCTCTTGAAACCAACAAGGCTTTCTGTCCAGTGAGGGAACTGCCCCAACCCTGGCCTCATACTCCTCTCTGGGCTGGTCAGGGAGAGAAGTCTGAGGTGAGGGGGCTGGACTTTGCAGTGAGGGGCTCTCTCCGGTGTCCTAAGGGTTTTACACGTGTTACTGCCAGCCCTGCCCTCCTATGCTGAGCCACTGTGGCCTTGGCGTTTTGTCACCCTATGTACCCACCCCCTACCCCACCATGGGCAGGACATGCAGCGAGAGGCAATAGGGATGAGGCAGGATGCCCCATCCTGGACTTTGCAGTGGGGCTGGGGTGGTGACAATTCTAACTGTTTTCCATTAGAATGGGAGCAGATAGAGAAGGGAAAGAAGAAAAAAGGAAATAAATAAAACCCAAGGGATGATATTCTCATTTCAAACCAGCAGCAAGCAGCAGGCAAGAGTCAACAGTGCTAAGAAGAGCAAGCTTGCCCTTCCCAAAGATACCTTCTTCTTGGCCAGCAGCAAGTCCTGATAAGCATTTGACCGGAGGAAGCGGGCATAGCTGTCACTCTTCATCAGCTTGTAGATGTGCTCCTGGGGAGGAAGGTGACAAGGAGACACAAGGAAGGGCTGTCAACCAGTGCTAAAGAATATTACAATCCAGTTGATCACTGTTTTGGGAAAAGAGATGAAGGAACCTAGGTATGTTTGCGTGTACCTGGAAGAACTTGCAACATGTCCCACCCCCTTCCCCACCAAACTCAGAGGCACCAAACAAAACATATGGGCTCTATTAGAATGAAAGATCCCTGAGGATCATGTCCCAAAGGATTTGTAACTGGGCTTGAGTGCCATGTTGGTGTGCTTAATGATTAAAACCAGACACGGCAATGAGGAGGAACAAACTGTTCTTCCACCTAACAACTTGGATGAATCTCAAGGGAATTAGGATGAGTGAAAAAGCCAAGCTCCAGATTATAAACCATATTATTTCATTTATGTAACAGTCTTGAAATGACAAATTATAGAGACAAAGAACAGATTAGTAGTTGCTGGGGTTGAAGATGAAGGAGGAAAGGGAACGAGGGAGGTGTGGTTATAAAAGGCAACAGGAAGGATCTTTATGGTGACAGAATGGTTCCATATTTTGACACATCTTAACACGTGATAAAGTTGTATAGAACTAAATGCACACATACATACATGGGGCACAAGTAAAATTGGGAAATATGAATAAAATCAGGGGATTGTAGCCATGTCAATATCACAGCTGTGATATTGCACTATAGTTTTGCAAGATGTTCCCTTTGGGGCAAACTGGGTAAACAGCACATTATTTCCTACAACTGCATCAGAATCGATGCATATCTCAAAATAAAAAGTTTAATTTAAAAAAACAGGCAATAATGCAATTGGGTCAGTTTGTGCATTTCAGGGCCACAACCTCCTCCTGGAAGGAGTTCTTGGCAACCACATCACAGGATATGTAACTAACACCCAGGAGGCGTAGGTACTGCAGCAAAGTGCCACCTCTTCTCGTCGGCTCCCAGGGGCATCTGTTATACATTCTGGCCTTGGCCAATAATTTCACCCCTGATTTCCAGCTAATTCCTAGAAACTTGCGGTCCCTTCCAAACAGATCTGTCCCCATCAAGGGTAGGAAAATCCTGGTCCATTAGAAAAGAGGACTTGTCAGTGGACAAAATATTATTTATCCATTGAAGTGGAATTCAGCTCAGCTGCAAAGGAAAGCTTGGCTGTTCCAAGACAGAATGTGTTAGGAGGGAGGTTGGCCTTCACTGGGGATGGTGGGCTCGTTAGTTAGTGGCTGTCCTGATGGAAGAAGCATCTTCTCCCATGTATGCTCATTGTTCTTCCCACGAAGCCAGACAAAGGCCCTAGTGGTGAGGGGAATGGAGAGCTGGTCAGGGAGGAGGAGAGTGCTCAGCTGAGAGGCAGGACTGGTCATTAAGGATCTCTTCCTTGGTGCTCTTTCCAGGGAAGGGATGGAAGGAGGAGGCAGAGACCTCCCATCAGCTAGGGAACACATTTTAGAGATGTCTGGCCAGAAAAACCCAGAGCAATGACAAGGATTCAGCAAGACTCACTCCTTACCCAGCACAAAAGAAAGGGAGAGCACAGTAGCCAAGATATGGAGTCAACCTATGCGTCCATCAATGAATAGATAAATGGGTAAAGGAAATGCAGTATATGGGCATAATGGAATACTATTCGGCATTAGCAAAGAAGGAAATCCTATCATTTGTGACAACATGAACAAACCTGGAGAACATTATGTTAAGTGAAATAAGTCAGGTACAGAAAGACAAAATACCACGTGTCTTCACTTAAGTAGGGAGAACTTGGAGATATTGTGGGTTTGGTTCCAGACCACCACAATAAAGCAAGTCATAAGAAATATTTGGTTTCCCAGTACACATAAAAATTATGTTTACACTATATGGAGTCAATGATGTGTGCAATAACATTATGTCTAAAAAAACAAGGTACATACCTTAATTAAAATTTACTTTATTGTTAAAATACTAAGGATCATCTGAGTCTTCAGTGAGTCCTAATCTTTTTGCTGGAGGAGGGTCTTCTCTTGATATTGTTGGATGCTGACTGATTAGGGTGGTGATTGTTGAAGACTGGGGTGACTATGGCAATTTCTTAAAAATAAGACAATGAAGTTTGTTACATCCATTGACTCTTCCTTTCGCAAAGGATTTCTCTGTAGGGTGTGATGCTGTTTGATGGCATTTTACCCACAGTTGAACTTCTTTCAAAATTACAGTCAATCCTGTCAAATTCTGCTGCTGCTTTATCAACTATGTTGATGTAATATTCTAAATTCTTTGCTGTCATCTCGACAGTGTTCACAGCATCTTCATTAGGAGTAGATTCCATTCTCAAGAAACCACTTTCTTTACTCTTCCATAGGAAGCAACTCCTCATTCACTAAAGTTTTATCATAAGGTTGTAGCAATTCAGTCACATGTTCAGGCTCTATTTCTAAATCTAGTTCTCTTGCTATTTCCACCACATCTGCAGTTACTTTCTACACTGGGATCTTGAACTTCTCAAAGTCATCCATGAGGGCTGGAATCAACTTCTTCCAAACTCCCATTAATGTTGATATGTTTACTTCTTTCCATGAAACACGAATGTTCTTAATGGCAACCAGAAGGGTGAATCCTTTCTAGAAGGGTTTTGATTTACTTTGCCCAAATCCATCAGAGGAATCACTGTGACAGCTATAGCTTTAGGAAATGTATTTCTTAAATGATAAGACCTGAAAAGTTGAAATTACTTCTTGATCCATAGGCTACAGCATGGATGTTGTGTTAGCAGTCATGAAAACAACATTAATCTCCTTGTACATCTCCATCAGAGCTCTTGGATGGCTTGGTGCATTGTCAATGAACAGTAATATTTGGAAAGAAATATTATTTTTTTTTCCTCAGCAGTAGGTCTCAACAGTGGCCTTAAAGTATTCAATAAATCATGCTGCAAACAGATGTGCTGCCATCGAGACTTTGTTGTTCCATTTATAGAACACAGGCAGAAGAGATTTAGCATCATTCTTAAAGGCCTTAGGATTTTCAGAATAGTAAATGAGCATTGGTGTCAACTTATAGTCACCAGCTGCATTACCCCTAGCAAGAGAGTCAGCCTGTCCTTTGAAGCTTTGAAGCCAGGCATTGACTTCTCTTCTCTAGCTATGAAAACCCTAGATTTATCTTCTTCCAATATAAGGGTGTTTACACTGAAAATCTGTTGTTTAGTGCAGCTGCCTTCATCAATGATCTTAGCTAGATCTTCTGGATAACGTGCTGCAGCTTCTATATCAGTACTTGCTATTTCCCTTTGCACTTCTATGTTATGGACTTGAACCAACCTCTGCTAGCTTCAAACTTTTCTACTGCAGCTTCCTCACCTCTTTCAGCCTTCACAGACTTGAAGCAAGGTAGGTCCTTGCTCTGGATTAGGCTTTGGCTTAAGGGAATGTTGTGTCTGATTGGATCTTCTATTCAGACCACCGAAACTGTCTCCACATCAGCAATAAGGTTGTTTTGCTTTCTTATCATTTGTGCGTTCTCTGGAGTAGCATGTTTAATCTTCAATAACCTTTACTTTGTATTCACACCTTGGCTGTTTGGCACAAGTGGCCTAGCTTTCAGTGTACCTTGGCTTTCAACATGCCTTCCTCACTAAGCTTAATCATTTCTAGTTTTTGATTTAAAGTTAGATACATGTGACTGTTACTTTTGCTTGAACACTTAGGGACTACTGCCCAGTTATTAACTAGCCCAATTTCAATATAGCTGTCATTTCAGGGAATAGAGAGGCCCAAGGAGAGGGAAAGAGATGGGGGGAATGGCTGGTTGGTAAAGCAGTCAGAAAACAAACACACACAACATGTATTGATTAAGTTCATTGTCTCATACGGGTGCAGTTGGGCACCCCCAGAGCAATTACAACAGTAACATCGAAGATCACCAACCACAGATCACCATGAAAATATAATCATAATAAAAAAGCTTAATGTTGCAAGAATTACCAAATTGTGACACAGACACAAAGTGAGCACACGTTATTGGAAAAATGGTGCTGATAGACTCACTTGATGCGAGGTTGCCGCGAACCTTCAATTTGTAAAAAACACAGTATCTATAAGGCATAGTAAAGGGAAGTGCAATAAAACGAGGTGTGCCTGTATATGGAATGGAAGACAATCACACTCACAGAAGCAGAGAGCAGAATGGCAGTTCTACCAGGGGCTGGTGGGGAGTGGGAAGGACTGGGGAGACATTGGTCAAAGGACACCACATTTTAATTAGAGAGGGAGAATAAGTTCAAGAGTTCTCTTGAACATCATGGTGACTAGAGACTGAAGTTAGAATCAATATATTACATACTTGAAAATTGCTAAGAGAGTAGACTTTAAGTGTTCTCACTATAAACAATAAGTGTGTGAGGCCATGCATATGTTAAATGGCTTGATTTAAACATTCCACAATGTATACATATATCAAAATTTCCTGCTGTATACCATAACTACATACAACTTTTACATCTCGATTTAAAAAATAAACAAAAAGAAAGTGAAAGTAGAAAGCAGAAAATGTCTTGGTCACATGTGAGGACCTCTTGGTTTCATCTTTGGTTGGAACCCAAGGAATCTTGTTTTGGGACTCATTCTTCCTGAGATACCCTCATATTTACCAAAGCAGGGGAGTCACCCAACTAATGGGAATAAACCCACTGGAAGGACTCAAACGAAATTAAACAGTGGCTTGGTTCTTTTTTTTTTTTTTTGAGACAAAGTCTCGCTCTGTCACTCAGGCAGTGGTACGATCTCAGTTCACTGCAACTTCTGCCTCCTGGGTTCAAGTGATTCTCATGCCTCAGCCTCCTGAGTAGCTGGGACTACAGGTGCCCACCACCACACCCAGCTAATTTTTGTATTTTTAGTAGAGATGGGGTTTCACCATGTTGGCCAGGCTGGTCTCGAACTCCTGGCCTTAAGTGATCTGCCCATCTGAGCCTCCCAAAGTGCTGGGATTACAGACATGAGTCACTACACCCGG